ACTCATCGCTATGCTAACTTTTGAACACTGACGTCCAATTGTCAGTAGGTATACTCAATTAATCATCAATTACACATTAAAGTAAACACTGCTTTTTGGTTGAATTGGTATGTTTTTGGAGAATACAATTAAAAAAGTTTGACGAAAATTTCAGAAAATGAATTTATGCATTATCAAACATTTTATGAATGCTACATTGTACCTACCACACCCTCTTACGATTAGCTTATAAAGAATGTACGAATAGCAAGGAACTGACCTTCCTGGATGTGTACAAATTTGCAGGCTGGCCGGTTGCAGATACCATGATTAAAATCTTGGCACACCGGGAGGGTGTCCAGTAACTGTGGAATAAAATACACGTTAAGTGATGATAATGAAGAGTATTATGGTACGCATACTTGTACTTTTCCACTTTTTGTTAACTAAATTACATCAAAATTTGCATTTTAAATGATTTTGAAAACAAAAAAAGCACAAGAATTGAAAAAAGATGTTTCCTATTAATTACTTTAATATCCTGCATTACTTAAGCTACATATGTGCGTGAACTGCGCAATTAAAGGGCGCGATTTTGTTTTTTGAATGCAGAATATTACTTGTTTTTTTAATGCTGTAAGTAATTGTTAATATCGTATTAATTAAATTAATTAAGTAATTAAACTAGTTTTTGAAAGCATGAAATTGACTGTGAAAGCAACTACTACATTCAATGCCAAAATAACTAAAGAGAAAGCGTTTTCAAACAAAAAATCTTTAATAATTATATTTGTTAGTAGGTATACTTCATAAAATCCAGTGCAACAAAAAATCTGACAACTAGATTAAAACTTGGCAATTTTTCTTGTTTGTAAGTTGAAGAAATTTCGAAACACCAAATTGTTATTACATTTACTATTATTACAAACAAAATGTACGCTGCGTCTACAGTTTCTTTTAATAGTTCAATTAACTATGGAATTATTACCGAAAAAAAACTTATCTACATAGTGATTGAACATTATACAAACACTTTAGTGCAGAATCACTCATTACACTTGTTGAATTTGGTAGAACAGCATACATAAGGCTTGGTAATATTTATACCTGTCCTTGCTCGTCAGTGTAGATCACAAAAGGGGCGTTTGAGGGCACAGGCGGGCCATTGTCTAGGACCGGCGACATGCAGCAACCAGCAGTGCAGTAAGCCAACGTCATCGCAGCCATTCAGCGTTACGATAACAGTACGTTACAGCAGTACACATACCCACCAGACACCGTTACATTGCGAATGAGAAAAGTTGTGCGCAGTATTATTGTTATTTTAATAAAAGTACAACGGAGAGTATTCACAAAGAGATTTGTTAAGTCGGATTTTTGGTTTCATTTTTTTTTATATGAAAATTTTATTTTCAACATTGTACGTTAATTACATACGTACGTTATATGTACAGTATATTATTATGAATGGAAACGTTTACGAAAAAATTAGTAACAGAGCATACAATAATTGATTAAGAGAGCGAAGGTGGTGTTGGTGGGTTAACCCATTAACCGTAATAAAAACAGCACAATATATTTTGTGCGGTCAGTAATAGTTGGCAAAATAGACAAAAAATCAATAGGTGTAATGTATCAGCAAAGTCAATATAAAGAACAAAATAAACGTAATAACAGAAGTATGACGTTGCCAAACCAGAAGGAATGTAAGCATGAAACAAAAAGCAAAAAAATTAATATCATAGTTTGTGTACTTACAAATCCAAACAGATCTGTTCAAAATAAAACTAATTATTACATCATGGTAGAAAAAGGATTCTTCTGTTTGTCTAAATAGGAACAACGTTCCTTATGAGAGATATACTTTCCCAACCATGACGCAATGAAATATTTAAGCTCAAGAGATTTAAATGAAAAGAGTTCTGTTAATGCTCCAAGAAGCCGAACGAATATATTCGGTTAGACTTTTGAGGAAAAAAATAGTTAATAGAGCTAAACGTGTACACTACATCGATTAATTAAACGCATACTGTTTGAAAGGGTTACATATGTATGTGGTAATTATGCGCTTATCGTTATTGTTATCTACTTTTTTTCGTCTCTTTTTTTTATCTGCAGTGCCCTTTATTCTGTTAACACAGTTACCACATTGTATGTTTAAAACTCACTACGACAGAAATTCATGTATAGCTAGCAGTAAAGCGAGTAAAAACCATATTTAAAGCTCAATGTCCATGTGTATTGTATACTAATAATAATAATAATAATAAGTAGTCAATTATAGCATAAACCAACCTTTAAACCTTTTACTTGTTTACAATAAGTTAGGAAAGAGAAAGGTTGTACATGTAAATAGAGAACGGAAATAGTAGGTATTTATATAGTAGGTAAGTAGCAATACTCATTAAAAGTTTATTGGAGTAGAAGAATATATATGACTCTAGAGGCGTCTAATAAGGGATGTAACATCGTTACCTTACGTATTATACACCAGGAGCAAAGTGTGCATAATGTGCTAGGTCAATCCACGTTAGTCCTACGTACCTAAGTTATTTGGTTTAGAACTTGATCTAGCCTAAAACATTATACAACTTTACACTTGTCAGAACATGAAAAACCAATCTACAAAGCCCACTTTATTTTTCTTTTCTACCTATAGTAGTAGATATAAATATACTTGCTCGATAACACTTGTAGGTATTTTATTATACTAAAGCCATTTGAAGGGGGTTTCAGCATTGGTGGTATAGCATGTGAAGGACTTAAAAAAATTAATGGAATAGGTATAGACAATCAAAAAAGCAATCATTAATAAAACAAATATCATGCATTTTCAAGCATTATTATTACAAATAGTGGCTGTGAACATAATACATACACCTCAGGATTAGAATACAGTAAACAGTAATAATATAAATAGGAAATACAGGTTTCTCACACTTGTGGCGAGCGCGACCCACACCTTTGCAGTAAGCGTGATCAGCGGCCCAAGGCACTGCATTATTGTGAGTCAAATGGAAAATGGCTGGCAGCTGATTACGCAACACTGTGCAGTAAATGTGCGCACTATCAATCTGTCGTGCTCTGCTCATATCAAATCCATTTCACGTTTTCTATATTCACTTATCAAATCCTTGCTTACAATAAATAATAATACGAAATTAGGTAGGGGGAGTAGTTGGCAAAAATCGAGAGTGAGAACGCGTCATTGTACCACACAGCGTTTGCAATGCCATTACCAGTATCAATCTAGCTTAGCAAAAAACAGCAAGGTTTTTTCACATATCTAGTGGCTATTATGTACGTATACCTTAACATTAAAATTGTATGCATTTGACAAAAGTATTACATACAGCCTACTTAAATTATACCTGCCTACAAGTATAGTGGCATCACTATTGTATATTCTGTTAACGGTTAAAGAATACAAGGTGATATCACTATGCCAATTATTACTAAATATTAGAAGGCATATTAATAAAAAACATTGGTAAAACGAACGCTACTTTAAAAGCACAATAATTCTATTAAAATTTACAATTAACTATCAAATCAAGTTGAATTGAATAAAAAACAAAAAAACATGAATGTCGTCTACATGTTGCGACAAATTAAGGAAGACAAATTGAAATGTAAATAGGAAAAATCAAGAATTTATATTACAATTTCATGACTTATGTCATGTTAACAGAACTCGTCTTCAAAAAACGGACTAACTTTAACAAGAAACTCTCCCAACCCAAAAAGAAGCAACCCTCAAATGACAAGGACACAGATATAAATTAAAAATTTATAATGTTTCACTGTTTCTTTTTTTCTTCTTTGAACGATTCTTTATTAGATAATCCTGTTTCATAAAGATATTTAACATAATGTCTTTCGTAACATGTTTGTATATCGAGAAAATGCTATTATTATTATTATAGTAATAATAAATATAATACAATGTCTTTACTTTTTGTCTTTAAGCGTTGTTAATAACAAAATATATGGCAAGCACATAAAAACTAGTAGGATTACCTAATAAAGGTTGGTTACTGTACATTTGCTTCTTTTAGTCATGCACAAATAGAGAAAAGCCCCAGCCCATGCACGAATGAATGTAAACTAAATGAACAACTGCACAATTGAGAAAAGAAAGTCGTAAATAATAATGCATCTTTTTGGGTCAGTTACAAATCTACAATCATACCTACTACAAAATGGCACTGATCTATTCATACTACACTCACTGAACTACCATGCTATAATTATTAAAAAGGCTTTTATAAGAATATCTAAATATTTTGTAATGACTGTAATGACCACCATGCAAATGCTTGACACATCTGCATTAAGAACGTCACAGTTACATCAAATACAGCTAGCTTATAAGATAATCGTAAAGCATTTTTAACATAATGTATTAATAAGGATATCAAGGGGACAATTAGGATTTTCAGCGGTGCTTACAGCGGATGTGATGTATCACAGACACGAGGCACTCGCTTGGTCCAAGGTTGCTCAGCGCTACTTGGATTTCAATTTCTTTGTCATCGCATTTTTTTTTTTATATATGTATATAGGTACCTACACACATACTGAATTTAGAACTTTAACGGCAATGTATCGGATAATTTAAGAAATCTGCAAATTTCTCAATTATTTTATTAATAAAAATCAACTTACATACGCCTAAATAGGATACTAACGAGATCTCAGGAAAACCCTTAGGTAAAATCAGTATGTGCATGAAAGTGAAGAATAGTATATAATAGTTAATAACCATAAACGTTAGCTTTTTCTTTGACTAGACGCGAACAACTAAACCTAAATTTTGTTTCAAAAACATATAACATTACATTTAACAAACAATTTAGTAAACATTTTTAAATAAAACTCGAACTGAACAAATATACCAAAGCTAAATAAATTTGGCATCGAAAATAACAATTTTAATATTTGCACAAAAGTCGAGGCATCATCACTTCCTTACTTATTTTTTAGTCTATACATACTATTAGGTACTATTATTATTATCGTTATTATTACGTGAAACAATATATCAATTCAATCGCTTTTATTAAGAAAGAAAACTACCCTTGATAAAAATACATCCATTTTCGTTATGCCTGATTAGAAAAACTGTGTAATGTGATTTATTTGTATGATATCTCTATAAATATATATAAGAGGAATTGAAAACACGGTTAAAAATACGTTTGCAGTGTGCGTGTCGATTCGAATCGTCCACGATAGCGGTTTCAATAAAAATGCCATTGTTATAGATAGTAATTAAACCTAGAATGTAGGTATGTCCTTTTCATATTCTATATATTTAGGAAAATGCACTTTGCATATCCTTAACAGCCTATCCTTAGGTATTTATGTATACAATAACTATTCATGTATATGTATGTATGTACAACAGTTAGTTTGTGTTTATGTATAAATTCACTCGGCCATTTAAGACGTTTTGAGTTTTTTGTACGGCGGAACAACAGAGTTGTTATTATTTTGGGCGGCTGCGGCGGCAATATGTGTAGGCGGCGGAGGAACATTATTAATGGTGGGAGTCATAGTTTGCGTTACGCCGGCGGCTGCTACGGACACCGGATATTGTCCGGTTGTTAGCATGTTAGGGGCAACAAACTGGGAGTGGGTGGTGGTGACCGGAAAGGGGGCACGAATAAAAGAATACGGATTGAAAACTGCTGTAGCAGCTGCCTGGGGGGCGCGGGCAAAATTCAGCAAATTCGTGGTCTGAGCGTAAGCGTTGTAGGGATTAAAAGCGAGATGATTCAGACCGGTGCTAGCTGTACCTATACCTACAGGAAGAGCCGGAAATCGTGGAAAACTTGCAGCGGCAGCGGCAGCAGCGGCCTGGGCCGAAGTTATACCCACAGCCTGTTTGTTCAAAGCAATTCCAGTATAATTTAGAGGATTCAAGTGATTTAATGGATTAGTTGTCAGTGAGGAGTTAGCAGCGGCTAATTTAACAGCTTTAGCGTAGTTTTGCTGAGCAACTTCTTTGGCCAGCGTTGCCGGATCGGGTATGGATGGAGGCGGAATTGTGACAGATGTCGAAGCGGGAATAGTATTAGCATCGTCCTCTTTAGTCTGAGCTACTTGTGAGGAAGATTGAGGTAACTGGGAGGTGTCAGTAGCTGCTGGAGAAGCATTGGAAGTAGCGGGAGCTGGCGAGGGAGAAACCGAGTACTCACATGAAACGGGCACGAAAGGCTGTTGTAACTGCATTAATTGCTGGTATGTTGTAGCGTTCGGTTGATACACTGGCACGCCTGATTTATCAGCTGCTGGCCTTTTGTAAGGGACCATTCCAGGAAAGGCCTATAAAGTAAAACAATCCATTAAATATCGTTCAACGGGCTCAACAATTTGAAGAGGTTCTAATACAATATGCGTCCTTACTAAAATTAAGTTTTAGAAAATACTACAAATGGCGCAGTAAACGCCATCTGTAGTACGATGCTACATTTTAGGATTACGTATGCTCCAACAAGGTCCACTTGTGTGGATATCTACTTGCTGAAAACGAATCCCGGCGTAGCCAACCTCAACGTGATAGGCACGTTAGCTTAATCGAATAAAATAATTCGAAGTGGCCTGTATTCTGTATTTCTAAAACGCACTGTTAAGACAACAGGCAAAAGTTGGTCTGTGTTCTGTCGGAGCAGCCTGCGACGCGCTGATGAGATCCACAAAGATCGAAATGGCGGTCCGCGTCTGGCAGTTTCGACAGAAAAAAAACCACTTCGAATTATTTTATTCGATTAAGCTAACGTGCCTATCACGTTGAGGTTGGCTACGCCGGGATTCGTTTTCAGCAAGTAGATATCCACACAAGTGGACCTTGTTGGAGCATACGTAATTCTAAAATGTAGCGTCGTACTACAGATGGCGTTTACTGCGCCATTTGTAGTATTTTCTAAAACGCGCTGTTAAGACAGCAAGTAAAAGTTGGTCTGTGTTCTGTCGGAGCTGCCTGCGACGCGCTGATGAGATCCAAAAAGATCGAAATCGCGATCCGCGTCTGGCAGTTTCGACAGAATACAGACCACTTCGAATTATTTTATAAAATTAAGTTCTTTGCTAAATACATAATTTTTTCCTATCAAATAATGACACAGTAAAATCCGCCATGGCATTAACCAAAATAAATTTTTAATTACGAACAATATCATGTATTTAACAATGGACGACTATGCCTCATAAATAAAATCAGTTTTACTAATTTGCTCATTTATGCAGTTTAATCATATTTATTATAAATCATATTTATTATAAAGTTATTATTTTGCTCGAAATACTTACAAAATTGTCATAATAAAACGAGCCCATAGATTTCATGTCCATCTGAAATTAGAAAAGCGTTAGGAATTACAAAGAAACGATGAATTTTCTTTACGTATAATGTAAATGAACCAACGTTCTAAATAAAAAAGTTTTGACAGTTACGGTTTATTTTTACTGAAAGAACTCAAAGGATTGATTAAAAAAAAATATTATTTCAACAGATTTTTAAGGAATGCCTAGATCCTATAAAAATATTTAAACAATTGTTCATGTAGCTGTCAAAACAGTGACACAAAGAAAAAAATTTATTTCTGTCTGCCACTTTCTAATTCTCGTAAATTTATCAAAGGCAATTACAACAAAGAATTTCTTAAATGTTATGTAATTGACGCTGTTAGTATGCTGTGACTTTTTTAACTTCTTTTCGAAATAGATATACCACCCCATGTCGAAACAGAGGGGGGTACATAGTATTTTGAATATGTCGAATGTTAAACATTTAAAATATAAACGCTCACAACATGCTTACAACTTGTATGGTAGCAGTTCGCACACAGTTTAGTGTCATACTTTGGTCAAAATACGAAAGCTTCAGTGATCCATAATTATTTAGTAAATATTCAACGACAAGTCACACTAAACAAAGGGTCAATATTGCAATCTCATAATTATAATTATTACGTAGAAAGTACGCGCGAAAATGTATGTACTTGCCCGTTATCAAATAAATCGATAAGGTTTTTAGTCCTTTCCAGCTTAACTTACATCCTTAATAGATACACTATTTGGTGTTTGGAAATAACAGTTAATAATTTTTGCGATAATTATTGTGCTAGTCTCTTTTCCTGCATATTTAAAGCTATTATTTATTTTAAATCTTGTAGGTAATAAAAAGGGTCTTCTTCATAATATTCAAACTTATTCAAATTTCACAGCGAATGACGAATAATCAAACAAATCCGTCAAGATCGATCTTACCTACAACTAGAAGGTATACGTTCTTATTACTATAATGGTGTATTATTTGAAAGCCTCCTAATTTTGAATATTATTAAAAATATTGACAGGCTGACTGCATATCCTTTCGAAAAAATATTCCATGTAATAAAATCACCACACAAAACAGGCGTATCAGGAATTGACAATACAAAACAAATTGCACAAACATCAAGCAAACTGATCTTAAAAAAGGCACTATGAGCAAGTTGACGGGTGGGGTGGCAGGGGAAGCAGCTGCCTTTTAATTCCTATAATATAATACGAAAAGTTAATTATACTTTGATAAAGATTTTAGTCAATACCTACATTTTTTACCAACGATCCAAAGCATACTTTAACACAGATTAACTGAACTTTAATTTTCACTTTTACTACCATTAAAATTAATTAAACTATTCGACAATACTATTATTTTTATATTAATAAAAACGTGTGTTTTAAATCTATAATTTT